ATATTAAAAATACTGTAATGGTTTTAATCGATTTTTCATTATGTTTTTATTTCTTCAGTACATTTTTACGGTTTCCATTAATTCCACCGATCGTTGATTACTGTGACAAATATAAAAAAATCTATAGACATCATTTATCTTTCCGGTTTTTACTTACAATGTTTTTCCTTTAGTTTAGTTTCTCCTTTAGACGATCAAAGGATTCTTTTTATAGTAAAAGAATGCATGAGTAAAAATTCAACTTAAAATTTATTTTTATTCTAGGTTTTGGTAAATAATTTTTATTATAACTTATGTGCACATTTCAAAACCATGTAAAATGTAAATCTTCACTCAGAATGCAAAGCATAAACATGTCGACAAAATGTAAATTACAACAATTTATTCACTGCAAATTCGCAAAATTACATTAAATTGTTGGTTGGTATATTTAGGCAGCCACTTACCTAAAGCATACTATAGTGTTCACCATTTTGTCCTTATACATAACAATAAAGTCAACTAAATTTCTAAATAATTAGGATCTTTAAAAACACAATAAAATGAATACTTTTATTTTATAAATCGTAGAGAGGCAAAAAATAATTATAGAAGACTATCAAAGATTTATTTGTTTGACCTAAGTAATTTCTATATACAGTATGTCCCCGGATAGGGTTGCTAAGAGGAGAAACTTCTTTATTTTTCATTTTACGAGAAAAATGTATTCTTCATAATAGTTTTTGCTTGTTTCAAAATGGCTGAATCAGTTTCCACCGTTTCAAATTTCCTTTCCGTTAAAGAGAAACATGAAAAAATATGTCATTTTAGTTGAATATTTGTTTAAGTCCCAAAAGTTTTGGGCCAAAACTATTGTTTATTAAGTTTTCATTGCAACAATTCAACAAAAATCAAATCGTTTCATTGTCAGTCTAAAACGAAAATTTGTCAAAATTAATGACAATGTTGTCGAAAGAGCAACGAATTTATTTAATACAGTGCTATGGTAAAGGTGATAAAGCAACCCGACGAGTTATATAAGAATTCAATCAAAAGTTTCCCGATATTTACGTCTCAAAATGTGGTGAACAAAAATTAATAAAGAAATTCTTAATTACTGGCTCAGTTTTGGATGCAAAGAAAATTAAGGTAGATCGCAATGAAGATGACGCTTCCACTCTTATTGTAACGGATTCGATACAAAATAATCCGAAACTTTCTTTACGACGAAGATTGCTTCAATTGGGGATAAGTAAAACACACATTCAAAGAATATTGAAACAATGTAAATTCATCCTTACGAACCAATTTTTAATCACGCTTTAGAGCACGGAGATCCCGCAAAACGTTTGGATTTCTGCTTGTGGATGGGTGCTCAAATCATGGATAATCAATACTTTTATCGAGATATTATATTTTCTGATGAAGCCACGTTCTCAACCAATGGTACTGTTTCATCTCCGCATGTGAGGTACTGGAGCAATCACAATCCCTATTTCCGAATCGCTCGTAATCGACAATATTCGGCTAAAGTTAATGTATGCTGTGCAATTTCTTATCATGATATAATTGGACCATATTTTTTTGAAAATACGGTTAATCAGCATACGTATTTAAATATGTTATAACATTTTCTAAATGAAAGGTTGTACGATCTACCGATTAATTATCGTGCAAGGTGTTACTTTCAACAAGATGGTTGTCCTGTCCATTATGCTCGAATAGTTGTAGAATGGTTGAATCAGCAATTTGGAGAAAATTGGATCGGCCTAAATGATCCTGTTTTATGGCCACCGAGGAGCCCTGATTTGACTATTGCAGATTTTTACCTTTGGGGCCGTTTGAAACAAATAGTTTATGCGAATGATGTTCCTCCGAATGTAGAACGTTTGAAGGAGAAAATCAGAGATGCTGTGGCGTCTTTACCGCTGGAAGAGATCAGAAACAGTTATAGGGAACTGCGTCGCAGACTTGAGCTATACGTTCATGAAGGTGGTGAATGGATCGAGTGAAATTTATTAGTAGTTTAATTATTTTGTTGAATTGTAATAAAAACTTAATAAATGTTCGTTTTAGACTGACAATGAAACGACTTGATTTTTGTTGAATTGTTGCAATAAAAACTTAATAAACAATAGTCGTGTTAACTGTTGCCATGAAAACGAAAAGTAATTTTTGGGACAAATATTCAACTAAAAGGACCTATTTTTTCATGTTTCTCTTGAACGGAAAGGAAATTTGAAACGGTGGAAACTGATTCAGCCATTTTGAAACAAGCAAAAACTATTATGAAGAATACATTTTTCTCGTAAAATAAAAAATAAAGAAGTTTCTCCTCTTGGCAACCCTATCCGGGGACATACTGTATACGAAGAAAAAACAGTAATCCAGTATACTATTTGAAACCATATTTAATATACGTAATATTGCTCTCTATAGCTCCTGGCAGTACTCATTGATGTGAAAACAGTAACTATAGCTGCTGTGAAAATAATCCGTGAGGTTTTAAGTGAATGATTTCGAACAGTGTGTTGACTGGATTACAGTCCTGCGCATCAATCCTCAGCGTGGATAATTAATTTTCTGCATTAAAGCTCAAAGCTTTTTGCTTTTTGATACTTCGGGAGTTCCTCAGGGCTCAAATTTAGGGCCACTGTTTTTGCTGTTGTTTGTAGACAAAATTAAATGTGAAAAACTTATTTATTACTATAGCAACCCAAGAAGATTGTAATTTTATACAGGAACAATTGGTGAAACTGGATAATTGGTGTCAGAAAGAAGATTGTAATTTTATACAGGAACAATTGGTGAAACTGGATAATTGGCGTCAGCGAAATCTTTTGCATTTAAATATTGAAAAATGTCAAATTATAAGTTTTAGCGGTAAAAAAGATATTATCGAATTTGATTATACCCTTAGAAACCTAAATATCAAAAGAAAAACAGGACAAGTCAAACATCTGCTACCATGCAACATTATGCTAAGGTCTCCTTTATGTGATAGTATGTGACAATTTTAACAGGATTTCTGATAAATATACAATATACAATTTAATTAAATATATATTAAATAGAAGCGGCAAAAAAGTGAAAAATAGTTCATTGTTATTATTTGCATAAAGTAGGTGGACCATGTAAGTCAATTAATCCTTAGAAAACAATGTAAAAACACATAAATTTTTATTTTTCAACAGTCTGTTTTAGAAATGACCTCCTTGTTTAATAAAAATCCTTTTTTCTACGACCACTATGTATAAGTCACATTTCGTAATGGCATCGTTGCTCAGAAAATGAATCTTTTCATTGGCAAGGTAAAACTCTAATGTAAAGTGACATTTCTGTATGAAAAGTGACAGGTCTGTGTGAAAAGAAATTGACAGCATCGTTTGACATTTGTATTGTATTTGTATATGTCTAAATATCATTTAGAACAAAATTATTTGTGTTTGTATAATAAATTCTAATTTTTGGTGCCTTTATTTAAATTGAGAAGGTAAGTTTATTGATTTTAATTAACTTATACCTTAAAAATTAAAAAAATAAGTTGAAAGTAATATTAACAGCTGTCAAACAGGTTTTTAAGTTATTTTGTTTTGTATTTGAAAATATTAAAAAATAAAAGGGTGGTAGAAAAAACAGTGTGTTACACTTGTGAGAAAAGCTTTCTTCAAGCTCGTGTTAATGCACACTCGGCCTAACGGCCTCGTGAGCAAATTAAACACTCGCATGAAAAAGTCGCTTTTCAACACTTGTAAAACAAATAACTATTCTGGTTCTTTTTAAAATAAATTTTTGGTTCAAAATTAAAACCAATAATATATATATATAATCCCACTAGGCGTCCTCCAATGTTAAATTTCGTATACAAACGGCGTCCTTTGGTCACTGGGCGTCCGTTATACGGACGCCGACTGGACTCTACCAAAAACATTTACCAATAAGCGCTAGATGGCTGTGAGATGCAGTAAAACTAAATTTTAAAAAGAGTTTAACTTGGTCGTTTAATGAATTCTGTTTATATTTTAATTCAAGGGTTTGCGTTAGAGTGTCACTACTATCGCCTTGTGTATATAACATTCTTTTCAATCTTAGGTTTACCAAGCGCCCTTAAATAAAAAACAAATTTGACAACGATGTCGTTAATATAAACAAGTTATAAATAGATTGAAATTCAATCATTGAATGCTATTTAGGTTTGCATTAATTCTTTTTAGAGATTTACTTTTTTAAATAAGTAGAAATATTTCGATCAAATTAATTATATCGATTTAAAACTTGCAAATAATAAATTAATGCCATAAATATTGTATGAGCAATTACATTTAAATTTTATAATTTAATTTAAAATAAATAAGCATTTATTTATTTATTTTAATCAGTAGACTTTTAATACAAAAAAAAATGTCAACAGATGGCAAACTTCACTAAATACATTTAAAAATAGATTTCATTATACTAGTTGCACATTATAATGTGTATATATAGTAGGGTGGGCCGAAAAAAATTTTTTTTTTAAATCAAAACCAAGTAGTAATCAAAAGTTGCCTAATAACTAAAACTAAAGTTTCTCCAAAGTTGGAGGAAATCTAAAATATTTAAGCCGGGCCCCAGAGGGGGTAAATAAACGATATTTTTTTTTATCTTTTATTTCTATTTGAGTAGACTCGAATCAATAGTGAACAACCCCCCAAGCATGTAAAAAAAAACGTCAAAAAATATTAAGGTTAAACCGGGCCCCAAGCGCCAAAAAAGTTAATATTTATACATGCTACTGCTAACATACCTAATGCGCGTGACTGTAATTTCGCAAATCAGATGTAAGAATAACAAGCTCAGTTACGTTCGAACATTGGTTACGATTAGAACATTTTTTAGTGAAATATTGCCTTGAGTGTGTAGTTTTTATTAAAAACATTTAGCTTTGCTGTTTTATCCTTATATATAAATAATTGGGTGAAGCAATTATTGTGTTATAGTTATAGTTATAAATTATAACTTGGCAGTTTTTTCATTAAGAAAAAATGGGCAAAAAGACAAGAAGTAATTCAAATATGATTTTATTTGGACCTGAAATTGATATTGACGCTGAAAGTGCCAAAACTTTGCCAACATATGAAGATGTTTTACGATGCTATGCAAGTGTGCGATTAGATTTAAAGGGTGACGGAAGTAAACAACCTGCATCCTTAATTGTTGCTGAAATTGTGGCTCAAAAACTAGAAAAATTGTGGCAGCGGGCCTCTTTACCAGTGTTGTCACGTCCACGGATAAAAGACATGATCATTAACTATAATAATAAATACCAAAAAATTATAAAACCATTTAAAGGCAGACAAAATACTAATTTTACTGCCAAATTAGAAAAGTTTAAGCTAGATGCTCAGAAGTTATTTGACATTTGTTCCTGCAAATGCTCAGACAAAACATCATGCAAGTGTGAAAAGTCCAATAAAATATCGGCTTTAGAATGGGATTTTATTAAAGATCAAAGAGGTCCAAGAAAAATGTATATTGGTAACGTCGATAAAAAGGAAACTAACAAGCTTAAAAGAAAACATGAAAGATTGGCAAAAAGTGGCAACTTTAATGATGATGCGATTCCGAGCACAAGCGGACTACAATCTTTTAAAGGAAAACTCTTAACTGATAATTCGTCAAGCGATTCTACCAGTCCAAAGAACGTTGATGAACCAATGTTTGAGTGTAGATATTTATTAGACAGTTTTGCACAAAGTACGGCATCTGAAAAAAAGCCCAAACAAATGAGACTATCTTTGCCAAGTACAGCTAAAGCCGTAGATATGACAGGAGTTTCTAACAGAGCGGCCGCCAAAATAGTATCTGCTGTCCTAGTAGACCTTAATATAGTGAGCAAAAGCGATCCAGATAAAGTCGTAGACAAGAATAAAATTAGGCGGGAAATTAAAAAGAACAGATATCGACTTCAAAGTCAGAACTCAGATCTATCTCAACATTTAGACGGTCTATATTTTGATGGCCGAAAAGATCATACTATTGTTCAAGTTGGTAATCGACGCAAAGAAATTATTGAAGAACACGTAGCTCTAATACAAGAACCCAACGGAAATTATTTTGGACATTTATCGCTTAGTCCACCGGTTAAAGCGATTGATATGGCTAACGGTATACTTTCTTACATTACCGAAAAAGGCATTAGTCTTACAAACTTGAAAGTTATAGGATGTGATGGTACCAATCTAAATACAGGATGGAAAGGGGGTGTTATTCGAATAATCGAAGAGAGGCTTCAAAGACCTTTGCAGTGGGCCATATGCTTACTTCATGCAAACGAGTTGCCGTTAAGGCATTTATTGCAAAAAATGGACGGTCACACGAAAGGTCCATATAATTATTCAGGACCCATTGGTACTCTTCTGAACGACTGCGAAAAAGCTCCTATTGTGAAGTTTATTGCAATAAATAATGACTTACCAGAAATTGATATCAAAGACCTTAGTACAGACCAGCAATATTTGTATTTATTGTGCCAAGCCATCAAAAATGGAAATTGTCCCAAAAATTTAGCTGAACGGAATCCTGGTAAGCTAGCCCACTCCAGATGGGTAACCACAGCTAACAGGGTTCTTCGTTTATATGTTAGCACAGAATACCCATCAGAAAGCCTTAAGCTTATAACAAACTTTATCATGAAACTTTACGCACCTATGTGGTTTAAAATAAAGACGAAACCACTATTACAGGATGGTGCTCGACACATATGGGATATGATTAAAATATCTAGACAGTTCCCCGAGGCCGTAAGGAATATCATCGATAAAATTATAGAAGGAAATTCGTATTTTGCACATCCTGAAAATTTACTGGTTGCAATGTTAACAGACCCTGAAAAAAATATTAGAGAGCTAGCAGTCCGTCGAATTATGAAGGCAAGGTCAAATACATTAACGGAACCTAGAGTTTTTAAAACTCCGAAACTGAATTTCGATGCAGATAACTACATGGATATTATTGACTGGCAGAAGGTAAATGTGACCGAACCTCCAATTACCAAAGCGTTTTTAATTGAGGAATTGGCAGAAGAATGCAGTCAACAGAAGCTGAATGTTGGCCAGTATCCTTGTCACACTCAGGCAGTTGAAAGGTGTGTCAAAGTTATAACAGAGGCATCTTTGAAAGTATGCGGGGGTGTAGCAAGAGATGGTTATATCCGCGCAAAAATTGATGCAAGGAGAGATTTACCTTCTTTTGAAAACAAAGCTCAATACTTTGCTGCAGCAAAAGATTAATTTTTTAAGGTAAGCGGGAGGGAGGGTGGAACTCGCTGTGTAGATACCTCCTCGTGGTGAGTTCTGGGCTGGTTTAGCGTTTATTAATTACTCTTAATAATGTTTATTGTAATACAAAAAAAAAATAATTACCGCATATTCGGAAACCCGAAATCATTTTTTCATAAACACCAAGCCAGGCGAAGAGCTGCACAAAACTATTAATTTTAATGGAAGCTTGGGGCTCGGTAAAAACTTTTACAATTTTTTTTATTTTTTTTTAGAAGACCATTTACAATGATTCTGACCATATTCTCGCTACTTAAAGTGAATTTTCAAAAATATAAAAAATTAAATATTGGAGGCCCCTGGGGCCCGGTTAAATTTTTTTTAATACGGTCCTTTTTTTGTACAATAAATATAATTTGTCTATTAGACATTTTGCACACTACTCATCATGGATTTTCCAAAAAATATTTTTTTTTATGTTTTTCGGCCCGCCCTAATATATAGTATTTTTTATCCTTTTCACATTATGTTAAAAAGGATAAAAATAGTATAATGTGCGACTAGTGGGAGTAAAAACAGATTCCTCGAGCGTGAAGTTAGCCGCACGAGCGTAGCGAGTGCGGTAGGTACCACGAAAGTGTAATATCTACCAATAGTCGCACACAAGATTTTATTTAACTACCGCAAGAAATATACTGCCGTATAAAGCTGATACGGCTCTTTTGCTTAGCAGGAAAATATACATATGTATCAGTCTAAAAACAAATTATGAACAATTGAAGAACCGAAAAAAGTATGGTGCAAGTAATTTAAAGCCAGTTTTATTTGATATTTTATCTGACATTTGACATCTTTTTTAATTTAAAGCTTACTTACTTCATCCCATGGGCAAAGTAAAATTTCGGCCACGGGTTAAAGAAATAAACAATTAGGACATTAATTATTTCTCGAAGTTACATGTTTCTTGCGGTGTTGAATAAAATAAATTTTAGTAATTTGGTTCAAACTTAAAGCTAATAAAAATGTAAGTACATACATATATATTGTCGAGTATATTGTATAAGCAAAAATTTAATAAAATATAGTGTATATATAATATTTTCAATGGCAACAATAACATAATACAAATAGTAATATAAATCTAATTTATTAATACCTAAGTAGATTTTCAATTTTAAAAACTTAACTTTAACAAAAAAAATATTTTTTTATAAATAAATCTTTGTAATCATAAATAAACTTAAAAACCTATTATAATAAAGAATACCTACACAAAAAAGTGCACTTTAAAAATATAGTTTTTCTACGACCACTATGTAAGAGTCACATTTCGTAATGACCTCGTTGCTTAGAAAATGATTATTTTCATTGGCAAGGAAAAACTCGAATGTAAAGTGACATGTTTGTGTGAAAAGAAATTGACAGCATTTTTTGACATTCAGCTGTCAAACACGTTTTTAGGTTATTTTGTTTTGTATTTGAAAATAATGAAAAATAAAAGGGTCGTAGAAAAAACATTGTGTTTCACTTGTGAGAAAAGCTTTCTTCAAGCAAAATAAATATTTAATTTAATTTAATTTAATTTTTTAATTTAATTTAATTAATATTTAATATAAATAAATACGTATTATTATTAACATAAGTAGAATATACCTAATATTAATTTAATAAGTAAATTTTAAATTAAAACAATAGGGTAAAAATTTCTCAAGTGGGCCACCCAAAAACCCTTCAGTCAAATTTTTTGTTCAAAATATATTTTTTGGGTAAAGTTTAAGCACCTCCACCGATTTGCCCAAAAATTTGTCTAAAATATTTTTTTTTGTCTCAAACATTAATGAACTAAGTTTTAAGACACTTTTTTTTTAAAAATTAATATCTCCTAAAGTATTGCATTGATTTTTAAAATTAAATCACCAATTAATTCAGATTTTAACGTAGTTTCGATAAAAAAAATTTATAACCTTCAAAATTTGCATGTTTATATATTTTTTAGGTTAATATTTATGAAAAATTGTAAAAAATTGTGTTCTTCATCGAAATTTGTAACGAAAAAAATAGTGTATATAAAAGAAACCTTATTAAATAGATTTGCGTTTAGAAAAAAAATGAATCTCTTCTAGAAATGGAGATATAAAAATAACAGTTGTCAAATATCGCCTTTTGGTTTTGTGTCTAGATTTTGTTTAGTTAATTAAATCTAACATACCTACGCATCAAACAAAATGGGAGCGCTCCGCGCGGGTCGTCGCGGCGACCCGTTTTATCGCGCTCCGCCTTATAAATATTTTTATATCTCCATTTCTAGAAGAGATTCATTTTTTTTCTAAACTCAAATCTATTTAATAAGGTTTCTTTTATATACACTATTTTTTTCGTTACAAATTTCGATGAAGAACACAATTTTTTACAATTTTTCATAAATATGAACCTAAAAAATATATAAACATGCAAATTTTGAAGGTTATAAGTTTTTTTTATCGAAACTACGTTAAAATCTGAATTAATTGGTGATTTAATTTTAAAAATCAATGCATTACTTTAGGAGATATTAATTTAAAAAAAAAAGTGTCTTAAAACTTAGTTCATTAATGTTTGAGACAAAAAAAAAATTTTTAGACAAATTTTTGGGCAAATCGGTGGAGGTGCTTAAACTTTACCCAAAAAATATATTTTGAACAAAAAATTTGACTGAAGGGATTTTGGGTGGCCCACTTGAGAAATTTTTACCCAATAATGGATAGATACATTTAAAACTATAAAATAAAATCTTTTCATGTCTGCCGGTTTTATTTATATGAAATAAATTGTAGGTTAAGTTTTAATTATGTAATATTTAATATCTTGTATGGCTTTTTGGTCCATAATAAATCAAAACAAAAAGATACTCTTTCTTCTTCGCAAAATTGCTTCATGCACCACTTTTGCCACCTGTCAGGGGAAGATACAAAAACATAGACTAGCTAGCTAGCTAGCACACAAGATTTTATTTAACTACCGCAAGAAATATACTGCCGTATAAAGCTGATACGGCTCTTTTGCTTAGCAGGAAAATATACATAGGTATCAGTCTAAAAACAAATTATGAACAATTGAAGAACCGAAAAAAGTATGGCGCAAGTAATTTAAAGCCAGTTTTATTTGATATTTTATCTGACATTTGACATCTTTTTTAATTTAAAGCTTACTTACTTCATCCCATGGGCAAAGTAACATTTCGCCCACGGGTTAAAGAAATAAACAATTAGGACATTAATTATTTCTCGAAGTTACATGTTTCTTGCGGTGTTGAATAAAATAAATTTTAGTAATTTGGTTCAAACTTAAAGCTAATAAAAATGTAAGTACATACATATATATTGTCGAGTATATTGTATAAGCAAAAATTTAATAAAATATAGTGTATATATAATATTTTCAATGGCAACAATAACATAACATAACATAAGTAATACAAATCTAATTTATTAATACCTAAGTAGATTTTCAATTTTAAAAACTTAACTTTAACAAAAAAAATATTTTTTTATAAATAAATCTTTGTAATCATAAATAAACTCAAAAACCTATTATAATAAAGAATACCTACACAAAAAAGTGCACTTTAAAATATAGTTTTTCTACGACCACTATGTAAGATTCACATTTCGTAATGACCTCGTTGCTTAGAAAATGAATATTTTCATTGGCAAGGAAAAACTCGAATGTAAAGTGACATGTTTGTGTGAAAAGAAATTGACAGCATTGTTTGACATTCAGCTGTCAAACACGTTTTTAGGTTATTTTGTTTTGTATTTGAAAATAATGAAAAATAAAAGGGTCGTAGAAAAAACATTGTGTTTCACTTGTGAGAAAAGCTTTCTTCAAGCAAAATAAATATTTGGTATTATTATTAACATAAGTAGAATATACCTAATATTAATTTAATAAGTAAATTTTAAATTAAAACAAACATGGATAGATACATTTAAAACTATAAAATAAAATCTTTTCATGTCTGCCGGTTTTATTTATATGAAATAAATTGTAGGTTAAGTTTTAATTATGTAATATTTAATATCTTGTATGGCTTTTTGGTCCATAATAAATCAAAACAAAAAGATACTCTTTCTTCTTCGCAAAATTGCTTCATGCACCACTTTTGCCACCTGTCAGGGGAAGATACAAAAACATAGACTAGCTGCAGTTCCTTTCATTATAGTAATGTATCAAATATGCTTAAATAAGAATGGTTTCTTATTTTAGTTCAATTGGTTAAAAGCGACGTTGCAATTTCATAACGTATGACTCATAAGTAATCTTATTTTTGGCGACTTTAGTATGGAAGTTATGTGACGCTAAGAAAGTATTTAGTTTTTATATGTATTAAGCAGGACGCCAAGTGGGGACGTTTTTAGACCAGAAGTCAAGTGGTCCTACATATACATATATATATATATATATATATATATATATATATATATATATAATATGCCTGCTTATTGGTTTTAATTTTGAAGTTAATTAATTGACTAGTCAGAAACATTGACAAAATCGGCAATGTGTTTTTTAATTGTATGAAAATCAGATCCCACACATTTTAAAATGCTAGTGCTTTGCCATGAACTTCATCCAACTTGTATTTGAGTTCTGGGGTTT